TTTAAATGCGACTGTTGATATCCTTATTTCATCAACTTATTTGTCAATAGTTTGCCTCATTCAGAAAATGTTCGAACGTAGAGCATGCTCTTGAGTATCGAATCAACTACAAGACATAAACTCCATATGCAGTTGATAATATTATATTGTGACATGAACAAGGAAAGTTGACGATAGAAAAGTTGAAGTTATCACGTTTATCATATAGTTTTTTGTAAAGTTACCATTACAATTTCATAAACAAATAATCTAATCTTGTGAGACTGCTGCAAATTGTTGAGATGTTGCATAAATTAACGTTAATGAAAAATGAAATTTAAAAGTTTTGTCATAATTAAGATTTCATTTTTCACTTTCTTGTTTGTCACACAATAGGCATGTAGGTATTGTTCGCCTTGATCGCCAATCTTTTTTTTTTTTTTTTTTTTGAATTATTTATTTATTTATCTATATATTTATTTTATAATTTTACAACTTTATTGTTTATAATCAGCTTTAATTTGGTATTTATTTTTTCACAATACTTTAACTTTCTATCTACATGCATTTTTTGTCAACACTTAGGAATTACATTACCCGCCGTCTGTCTGTTTGTCCTTTCGTCTGTCACACCTTATTCCTTGAGAAGTGAAAGGGGTGTGGGTTTAATATTTTGCACATAAATGTATATGGCTTTTGTAAAATACCGACCCACCATATGATCTTTCAACTTGACCTTTGACGAAATTTTCAAAATGGTTCACAGAGTCGATAGATATAGTTTATTATTATTATTATTATTATTACATTTAAGAGGCGAATCTGTGCTATATAGCATGTGCAGTGTTTGTCATAAGATATAATTGAAATTATCCGGTGTGGCAGTCCACTTAAAATCACATTCTTCGTTAAAATACTTCGAACGAGTAATATAAATTTTGAAAGGCAGATTTTCGATATCTAGCATAATCATATAACATAATTTATGCTTATGAGCTTATGATACTGTACTTTAAAACTGTATAATATAAAGTTACCACACAATCTGAAGTTAAATACTATGAAAATACCTCGGGATCATTTTACCAACATGGGTCGCAATATAGTTGTAGAATGACAATTGACGTGAAGACAGACTGAATCTTTCTCTAGCTAGGCACGAATCTGGGAGATTACTAGAGATGTTTAGAGTAGATGAGTAGAGTAGATGTTTCTACATGTATGTAGAAAATGATACACAAAAATATATATTTAAAATAATTTCAGTTTGTTTTTTTTATTTATTTTAGCATTCGGGGTTGGAGAATCATATTTTTATTTGAATGTCGCATTTCAAATTTTAATAGTATCCGTGGATTTTTTTTAGCATGAACTATAGCACTAGTATCACACAAATATCTGACAACTCTTAGATTTATTTACATCTTTACTGATGCGTTACTTGGAACGCTTTAATTAAGATTTGGTTAATCAGTAATGTTGAAGGTTTTTCGAGATCACTGCCAATTGTATAGAGATACGAGGGTTTTCCCAAAAAGTCGTAAACAGGGAAAATGAATTTCAAGTACAATATCCAGTGTGTTTAAAATGTGTCTCTTAAGCTTCTCGTTATTTATTTCAAGTGGAAAACCACTGTTGACTGAAAGAAAATTCATATTTCGAGATCGTTATTTCTAAAAGGGGGATGGGTGTCAATGGAAAACATCGCCGTTGAAATTTTTATACATGTATATGGCGATCGACGTATAGAAACAGGGACTTGTACCATAGGACTGGCGGTAAATTTAGATTTTGTTGTTGCTGTGGTGTATTTGCCAGAAGAATCACAGTATTTTTTTAAGTCATGCCCACCTTTTGGCATCAAGCCATACTTTGACAAGACCTTGACTGATGAATGAATGATGTCAATTTCCAGACCTAGCTGATGAATGAATTAAGTCAACATTTTTAATTTTAAAAAATACTAACATTAGCTTGTCGATGTTCGCTTCTTAAATGTTTCTGTATGTTTTCTCCGCGTATCCTTAATCAGTAAATGATACGTCCTACCTCGAGTTCTCGTCATTCTCTTTCCCGTCTCCAAATACAAATAGAAATATCACATCAGAAGTCCCCGCGTTTTTTTTACTTCCAATACCGTTTCAAACTTTCATTAAAATGTCACAAATCATTTCATTTTTTTTCTGTACGCCGATTGCCATATAGAGAAAGTTCAATGGCGATGTTTCCCATACCCATCCCCCCTTTTTCAAAAAAAAAAAAAAAAAAAAAAAAAAAAAAAAAAAAAACAATGATCTAGAAAGATAAATTTTCTTTCAGAGTTCACGGCTTGAATATAAAAGCCTACAATCGCTACCCCTGTACCTGTACCTGACAAAAATCATGTTTTCTGCGTCTTCAATATTCCAAAGGTACAATATCTTCATACGTACCAATTCCGAATTTTTTTATCAACAATTTGCAGTAGCAGTGACGCAGCTAAGTATGATCCTTGCAGATGGAGACAGCTATTTATACAGACTCCGGACCGTGGCTTGACACCTCGTAGTAGGCGGTGCTAATTATCAACATGCTTTTCTCTCATTGGTCCTCTGGTACAAGTAACTTACACATTAAATATTATTTGGTTAGCGGTAAATACACTCACACTCCGCACCTCGTGAATGAAAAACTGTGAGTGTGTTTACCGCTAACCAATTAATATCTATAGTGTAACTATAACAAATATACTGTCTAGTATATAAGTCCCTGATAGACAGTATGAAATGATTTCTGACATTTTAATGAAAGTATGAAATGCTATATGAAGTAAGAAAAATGCAGGGACTTCTGATGTTAAATCGCTACATGTACTTGGAGAAAGAAAAGAGAATGACGAGAATTCGAGATAGAACGTATCATTTACTAAATATGGAAACGCTTAGAAAAATTACGGAAAAAATTACAAGGCGAATTTTGGCAAGTTAATGTTAGTTTTTTTTAAATTAAAAATGTTGACTTCATTCATTCATCAGCTACATGTATTGCCAAGGTCTGGAAATTAACATCGTTCATTCATCAGTCAAAGTCTTGTCACAGTATGGCTTGATGCCAAAAAGTGGGCGTGACTTCAAAACCTGTGATTCTTCTGGCAAATACACCACAGCAACATCAAAGCAAAATCTATGTTACCGCCAGTCCTATGGTACAATTTAAAATGTGATATCTTTCTGTGTCGCCTGGAGCAAAGCGACAGTTAGGGATCACTTTACCCGGCATCTGCCTATCTGTCCGTCTCTCTGTCACACCTTTTCTCTTGAAAACTGTAACAGTGTCGATTTAATATTTTGCACATAAATAGCTTGGCACTATGTCTTTTGTAAAATGCCAAGGTTGCCCACTTTCGACCTATGAACTCGATCTTTAAATTTCTTTTCAAAATGGTTCAAAAAGCCGATATGCAGTTTAATATTATAATTATTTTTTACATTTTAGAGGTAAGTAACTATGTGCTAATTAAATTGTACACAGTTTGTCATAAGATATTATAAAAAAAAATGTGTAACAGTCCACTTGACCTCTGACCTCCTTTTCAATAATCCTTCGAACGGTAATTCAAAACTTATCTTTTGAATTTTGAGAGACAGATTTTCGATACATGTATATAACACATTTTTGTGAGCTCACGATGCTGTCCTAGAAAATTGTATAACAAACAGTTACTACGCAAACTGAATATTTATTACAACTTCATTAAATCGGGATCGGTAAAGCAAAATAATCGCACTTCAGTTAAAGCTGTAGACTGACAATTGCAGTACTTTCTTTAATCATGAATGAAATATGGGGATAACAAACAGCAATCAAGCTCAAAAGTCCATAAAAACAATACAAATCTACAAATGCGGTAGGATCAGGTGCCATGGAGGAGTAAGCATCCCCTGTTAAAGCTGTAGACTGACAATTGTAGTACTTTCTTTAATCATGAATGAAATATGGGGATAACAAACAGCAATCAAGCTCAAAAGTCCATAAAAACAATACAAATCTTGAGCTGAGCAAAGGCGTATCTCTAAAAAAAACATATGCGGTGGGATCAGGTGCCATGGAGGAGTAAGCATCCCCTGTTAACCTGGGTGACTGTTGGTAATTACTTCGAAAAAAATTCAATTTCATTATTCCTTTAATTATATAAGCTTTGAGGGTTGGGGAACAATTTTTATTCAATTGCCACACTTTATGAAAATTGCAATTGTATCAAAGTTATTCTTAGCAGGCAAATGCATCAATTATATTTCTTTAATTTATTTCCATCTTTAAGATAGTCCGAAATATCTGACGTTTTCCAGACTTTTTTTTTCAAGATTTTGATATTTTACATGCCAAGAAAACGTCGGAACCGGCGCCATTATGAAAACTGGAAATTGGAGGCGGCATTCTCAGGTTGATTTTCGATACTTGCGAACCGAATTGAATCTCAAACTCAAAACTTATCAACTGTACAATACTTTTAGTACTCACAAACATCGTTTTTATGGAATGTTTATAAAATATACAGTCTGGTGTATCATTTTATCAGACTGTCGAGGTCTGTTTTCATTTTGTTCATTTTAAAATCTTGCAAGACCTGATTCGAAATGTGGAGTGATATTTTCTTTCCATCGATATTGGTGAGTACTAGAAGCATTTTGCTATTGATAAGATGTGAGTTCGGCAATTAATTTGGTTCGCAAGTATCGAAATCAGCTCCGGTTGGGGACGGCAAAATTTCCAGTTTTCATAACGGCGCCCGGGTTCTGACGTTTTCCTGGCACGTATAAATACAAAAATCGTAAAAAGGCCTGGAAAACTCAGATATTTCGGACTACTTTAATGATGCCATAAAGCAGGCGACACATGCTGCGTTCCTTGGAACACTCTAGTTTATATCTAAGCTTTATACTATCTAGAGTAAGCAGTCGAGAATCTCATTGAAATACCGGGTAATATGAGGAATGTATATGAAAAGAACCTTCACATAATACAAATCATTTCATGAAATATATTTCACAAAAAAAGTTTGGGAGTAATAAAGCAGTCAATTACGGCATCACAAATCATGGTGTTTCTTTACAAACTCCTTCGCTCCAAACTTGTAATGCTTTGACATATCTGGTGCATATTTACTGGCAGGCGGCCGTCTGTTGTATTCCTCCGCCACTACTCGAGTGTAATGTGAAGCGTTTCCGCAACACAGACCCAAGTACTGCACACCAATTTCTCTAGCCTGCTTTGCAAACTCTGCAATCTGTGTTATGCTGCAGAAAAATCGCGGGAGGTCAACGGGAAATGCAGACTTGCCTGAAATATACCATGAAAATATAATTGTGAATTTTGTCACATTATATAGTTATATTACGATGAAGCATTCCACAATGGTAGTTTTGCATTTGCTTTCAAATACACCATGTATTTGTTATTTGTCCAAACATTTCAATTTAAATGCATCATTTGATTAGACGTGCTTAATACCACTTCTATACTTTACACCCAAACAATATAATTTGCTTTTACAAAAGGCAATGTAATAGAATTACCTGTATCAGGATCAACCAAAGTCTCGTAGGTGGGTTCCTCAGGGGTCGTTCGATACGGAACTGGGAGTGCGGCAATAGGTCCCTGAAAATAAGGGTGGCGTAAAAAAGTCAAATCCTATAGATATACATATGTATATGTTACATGTAGTTAAGTCTCAAATGTGGGATCATATCACAATTTTCAAGATAATCCATTTTCTCCATTTTTTTAACACAGCATGCTATAACAATTTGTAAAGTATCTCTACCATGACACCTGATTGAAAATTGAAATACACTCTACAATTACTTAAACATTGAAATAAATTTGAACTAGGAGATATTGTGAGCAAGCTCACGAAATTATAACCCCCGTGCAATTTTTAAAGGTTATGACATACACTTAGCTCACAAGTAATCTTTGTTTGAAATTTTGATTTCCAATACTTATTTATCACAGAGTTATGAACTAGGCACAAATTGTATACTTTTTTCTGCTAGTGACCTTGAACTTGCGTGAATGATCTTTGGCTACGGTCATGTTTCTGAAAGTGTCATGACCTTAGGTCAAGGTCATGACACACTCTTGGGACATGGGTAATTTTTTTAACCAAAAAAGATTCCAATGTTTCTTCATTACAAAGTTATTATGACCTGGAAACAATTGAATCGACATGACGGACAGCTAGACAGAAGACGGACAGCTAGACAAACGGACAGACAGCTAGACAGACAAGGTGAATTCTATTTACGCCTCAAACTTCCTTTGCGGGGGTTATAAAAAGATAATGATTTTTCCAAATACCATTGTTTTTAACATATCAAAATGCTACTTTGGAAATATTTAAATCAAAATACTAAAAAGTGTAAATAATTATTTTGATGAAAATAATCATTGTGCACTAAATGCTTATTAATGACAGTTACAAAACAATTTTCTCCAATGTCTTTGTCAAACTTAAAGTCCCAAATGCAACGGATCTAAATCCATAGATTTTTAAGGACTGTGCAAACATATCATTTCAACTGTATGAAAATATCTTTATCTCAATCATCCAAACAAAATCCTGGTAATGTATTGATAATTCAGTGATAAGTACTCTCTGTATACCTGGCATCTGATCGTCAAGAAACAAAGGTACTTGAAATGTTTATAATGAGAAACGTAGTAATGTAATCTTATCATGTCCTATTGTCGGATAAAGGGCAGTAAGTTTGTTAATCAACCCAACTGTTGCAATTTTTCCCCATTAAATGTCATTAATAATGACCTGTTTTGTCGTCGTAATATCTTCAGAAAATTATACTATTATTCTTCAATACTAGTATGTGAATGATTTAAGCTGAACCAAATTGATTTACATAATGTGAAGAAACTGTATCTGTAACTGCAGACGTATTCCTGAAGTCACCACATGCATCTACGTGTATGAATCTTATTTGAATGTCATGCAGCATCCTTATGAGATATTCTCTAGAACAAAACCCATCATTCTTACATTCAAGATTTTTATGCTACAGTACTCAGCTACAAAATGTTGGCTCAGAAAGAAAAATACATTCACAAATTCCAGTCACGATGACCTTTTAAAATTCCTCCTGAATTAGATATAGTATATTATAGCCAAAGCATTGTTGTCAAGAATAAGTATCATTTTTTCTTTTGAATGAGGCTACATTTCTGATAATACTGTTCACATCCCAATTACTTTTATCTTAGATTTGACTTTTCCTATTGTATAGACAGGTTTATTCAAGTATTGGACTTGTTGGAGGATATTTTCTTTAAATTTGAAGATATTAATAATTTAATGCATAAATATGAGCAAGAGACAAAAACATGATTCAGATACAGACACAATTTTTACGCACTCCCCTGGAAAAAATAGGTCAGATCCAGCATCTGGTGCAAGTCAGGTAGTATACGGATGCATCGGCCATGCATGTTTGTTAGGCATCATCTTAACATGTTTGTTCAACACATAAGGCTTATCGTTACTTGGGAATAGACTTGGTTTTAAAACTTAAAACTGGTCATTTTACTGGAAAATGTAGGTCAGAACCAGCATCTGAAGCAAGTCTGGTAGTGTTCATCACTAGAAGCATCATCAATGCAAGTTTGGTCAACTTGTAAATGGACTTGCACAAAAAACCTAAGCCTGGTCACTCATCTGGAAAATATCTGTCAGATCCACCATCCAAAGCAAGTCCGGTAGTAATTACGCCCAAAGATGTATATTCCATGCAAGTTTGTTTAAGAAGTACTACATGTAACAGTTACTTGGGAATTCGGGCATGCTCCTAAAACTTTGACTAAGATGCCAATGCTAGCCCCGAAACCGACGCCGGGGTATAGCATAAACTCAGAAATCTGGACAACATATCTGTGCCTATATTTTAACGTTGATATTCCTCATTACCTTGCATACTTTCCGAATTTCTCTTAGCAGAGGAAGCATTGTGGTTGGACCTCTACAACAATTAAGGCCCACCACTTCTGCACCTGCCTCCTCTAAAAGTTTACAGGCCTCCGGAAAAGAAAGACCATCTTTTGTTTCGTCTTTTTCATGCGGTGCCAATGTCACCACTGCTGGCACTATAAATGATAAATATATAATGATAATATATTAAAAAATGAACTTGGATATAACTGTCAGTCAGTGACTTTCAACATAATGAACATGTATGATAAATTATATTAAAATATAAATATTTTAAACTTCAAAGTGAAATTACTGCAATATACATTTATTGAATGATAGAGATGGAAATGTGAAGATTAATTCAAGCAAGCAAAACCATATTCCCCGAGGGTTTCCCCCTCGGGGAATATGATTTTTGGCTGAATAAATCTTCATACTTCCTCGGCATTCATCCAATATACCAAAACAAGCCAAATCTTTAAAAAAATAAACAAAAAATTTCAAGTTCGGCACCGCTCTTAAATTCGCTTTCAGTTCTAAAACGTCACTGACACACTTTACTGAAGACCCTTGAACACTTCATAGACAATTGTCTTCGATTTCTTTGTTTTCCTTTCAGCATCCCAGTTGGAAAGTTTCCTCATCGCTTGTTAGATGAAACCTTTTCTACTATAATAATTGTATATTTTGCAGTTAGAAGTTTTCGTTCAAAGAACGATAATTATTGCAGGAAAATGCATGATCGAGGTCTCCCAAGAGGTTGAACATGATGTAAAGCATGACGGTGGCAGGGAAATATGAAAATTTATAGCTATGTCACATGACTTTCTAGAACTAATCAGATCATCTGTTGCATAGAATAATAAGATTATTAGAAAGAGGTATGATATTTGACAATATGATCTATCCCTATCGGCTCTCATATTTTCTTACAGCCATTTCCATATTCTTTGATACAGTCAAGTGCCAACCTGGCCTCGGCAAACTCATGGAACCGCTCTGCAATCATGTAATCTGCCCCACATTGTACAGCCCATTGTATTTGTTCCTAGAAAAGTAAATAAAAAAGAGAGTAACAAATTACCCATACTAATTATATAACTTTGTGATATAATTTTTTTTATTTCAACTTACCCGAAATATCTCCCTAACCTCCTCTACGGAATTTGGATCGTCCCTGCGAAACACAGTGGTGTTACAGATATCCCCTGCCATCAAGGTGCCAGTTTTGACTGCCACTTCTTTGGCCATCCTCAGGGCACGTAAATTAAGTTCAATCAGGTCATCCTCACGACCGATGACTTTGAGCTTCGCACGATGACCATAATACTGTTAATCGTACAACAATAGATCTGACAGATGAATTTAATGATAAACATTAACTATGTAATACGCTGCTTACATGTATCAATACTAATAAGTATGATTACTAAAGTTTGAAAACAAATGACACAATGCATACAAAATCATTTGGTAAATTATATTTAATTACACATTGATTTAACTGTATTTAAGAAATGTAAATGCTCACTCCAATATTAATATAAAAATTGGCAAAGTTTGTACCACTGTAGTGCAGATAATTGTAATTTTGATGAAGGCTATACTTTTCATAGTATACAAATATTTATATGATATCGAAGTTAATCAGAAAGAGTCAGGGATATGAGGGGGCGTTTTGGTATCACATATTCAAAAGGGTGATATCACACATTCGGATTGGTGGCATCACCTCTTTGAATTGGTGTTATCACTATCTGATTTGAAATGGCCATTTCACCTATTCGGATAGGTGATATTACCTATTCAAGTCAAAAAGTGATATCACATATTCAAAAAGATGATATTACACATTTAAATTGGTGACATCAGTCACATCACTCATTTGAATAGGGGATATCACTATTTGATTTGAAATGATGATTTCACCTATATCACCTAGGTGATATTACCTATTCAAATCATATAGGTGATATCACATATTCGAATAGATGACATCACCTATTTGAAAAGGTGATATCACTTAGTCATTTTGAATAGGTGATATAACATTTTCAAACTTTGCATGAAATAACAAGTGCTCCCAAGACTTTATTTGTACTGCATACATTTCCTCTATACACACGATGCGGGAAAAACATTTCACATGAATAATAATAATAATAATAAAGAGAAGGAATCGATACATATTGCAAAACTGAATGTAATTAAAATATGCATAACTTCACATGTCTCGCACTATAACAAGGGGAAGAGGGCAGCCCAAATTTGCTTAGGCTCAATATAACTCTAGTTTTTCGTATGTAAAATCGAGCTGTTTTATGAACCATTTAAGTTTTGTGTACATATAACACAAGAACAGCCCCCCCCCTCCCCATCCCCCGCCTCTAGCCAAAAAGGAGATCTTAGCAAATCTTCAGTTTATTTGATCAATAAATGCTGAAATGGTAGAATGTGCTCAAATTAAGTTTAACAAGTTCAGAAAATGTTTCATTTTTTTATTGTAAGAGTAATTATATATGAAATCAATATCATTATTTTTTAACCAATGTAAAGAAAATAAAATTGTTCTTCGAAAGCCTATTAAAAGTTCTTTCTTTATTTTGCATTGCATTGAAACTTTCCATGAAAAAGGAACTATTCATTACTTAATAACCTAGTAAGGAATACAAATAGGTGATATTACTCATTTGAACGATATCACAAATTCAAAATAAATTGATGATATCAACGATTCAAATGGTTGATACACTGTATTACCTATTCAATTCGCATAGGTAATACCACCTATTTAAAGGTGATATCACCTATTCGAAAAGGTGATACCTCTTATTAAAATTCAATGCTGAAATATGAAGATAACGAACAGTAATCAAGCTTTAAGTCCATTAAAACAATACAAATTTGGAGCAGAGCAAAGACGTCGACGGACCTTTAAAAACATCCGAGGTGGGATCAGATGCCATAGAGGAGTAAGCATCTCCTGTCGACAGGTCACACCCGCCGTATGCTCCTTGTCATGATCGGGCGAACGAAAAAATCTTCATATGCACGTAACAATGCTAAATTGCTAAATAAATAAATAAGGGAAGTTGACGACAGAAAAGTTTAAGTCATCCCGTTTATCATAAAGTTTTATTGTAAGGTAACCATCAACGTCTTTTTCTAGTAAATATTCAAGTATGAAACAGATGTGTCTGATTCTGTGGTATCTTTTATTTCGAGTCAAAAGGGATATAATATCGAATCAATGTAGGAGTGAAAATGAACATTGTTAATTGATAAAACGTCGTTGATATATATCTAGATGTTGAATTTAAGGCAACGACAAGAGACTTCTATTGAGCGATATCACCTCTTTAAATGGGTTCACTGATATCATCTATTCAAATAGGTGATATCACTTAATTGCAATAAATACCAGGAAACTTACGGTAAATGCCACTACTACGTCACTTCCTGCGTGCACAAATTCTTCGTGAAGAGCTTTGACGACCTCTGGATGTTCTAAAACTACTTCCGGAATAAATGCTCCGGCTTGTAAATAGCCTCGCCTCTCTAGTTCTAACAAATAGCCCTCGGCTACTATGATGTCTTGGCCACTCTTCAGACGTTCTCTTAACCCTACTCGGAGGCAAATGGAAAACATACAAGTCACAAAATAAACCGGCATTTAAGAAATTTATACACTGTAATATATAGAAACGAAGAGCAGCAGCATAGCAACTCAATAACTATGAATAAAACTTGTTGAATTCTTGTGAAAAACATTCTATCTTCTTGCTTTGTTATCTTAATTTTAATCTTTAAATTATGTGCTGTATATGATCTATTCAAATATTTAAAAATGTCAATATTTACAAAAGAAGGGAAAGAACGAGGTATATTTATTAATTTAAAAAAAGCAACACAATAAAGGCAGCGAACAATTGAACAATCTTTTGAAACAGAGGTTATTTTAAAGGATCAGAATGCAATTTTAAATATCAATGATTATCAGCACAAACTTTATTCCATACCATACTTATCACATTGTTAGAACTTTGTACTGCACAGTGAAATATCAGAGAATGTTATTTACTTAATCAACTGAATTTTACATGAATGCACTCCTTTCCGAACGTACTGACTATGAAATGATATTATATGATATAAGGATTTATTTGCATTTAAGCATCAAATAAAAGTGGCCAAACTTAAAATATTTTTCACAGTAGAATTTTTACCTTCCACAGCCATTTTAAATCTGATCCGTTGCACTCAATATCCCAGTACGGGTTCCCGTGAATGTCAAGATTTATGTAATACTTATCAATGCACGTATAATCAGGTGATGTCTAGAAATTTTAAATTATGTATGATTTATGAGTATACAAAATGATAAGTTATATTAGGCCAAGAATAAAAAATGATTTGTTTTATGTCCCGACTGACCCATCAAATTTGCCCCTACTGAATCAATTTATTTCAGTACTTTATTATTATTATTATTATTATTATTATTATTATTATTATTATTATATATATATATATATATATATATATATATATATATATATATATATATATATATATATATATATATATATATATATATATATATATATATATATATATATATATATATATATATATATATATATATATATATTCTCTCTCTGGGAAAAAACATAATTATATTGTCCGACTTGCTTTTAAACATAAGGTTCTGTGATTTTCATAACATTTATGGTTGTGTTAGAAAATTCCAAAAATTAAAAAAATAAAAACATACCTTACTATCCACCTTGAAAAATATGAGTGGGAGTACATCAAACAAACAAAAAATAATGATAGCCTTAATATTTATCAACTTACAGAATGTTTTTTTTAAAGAAGCATAGACTATGTATAGTAATTATATGCTTAAAAACTAATTCTTTTTAAAGAAAAAATTCTCACTTTTTTTTTTATAACATTGCATAATGTATCGTACATTGCACAATATTATTTTGGTTAACAATTGAAAGATCTCATAAATCATCTTTTTATTGGAAGACCTTGAAGATAATACATGATACAGACGAAGAATACTCTGGCCATCTTTAAAAAATTGTTTGGTTGCCCTCTCCCGACCGCCTGGCTAAAAAGGGCCCGGCTTAAAACTATTTTTTAACCTCCAGGAAGCAAATATTTTGTTTATGCATTCAGGAAAATAGATTTTGAAAATTTAGCATTGATGTTGAAATTTTCTAGGGAAAAAAATTTTGTCACCTATACCTAACGACCCGATTTTTTTTTTACCCTGCGTCGGGGGAGGGCAAACAAACATTATTTTAAAGTTGGCCTCATCTGTTGAATGAGAGAGCACGCTTTACTAGACAACATGTATGTCATATGAAATCTGTTAAAAATCGGTTTGTTCCCATTTAGCCTTAACTGAAAAATTTGCTATAATTTGGTATTATCAAATTCCCATTTCACCTTAGAACTTTTTAAAAACAGTCTGATTTACTGCATATTTACCTTTAGTGTATATTGAACTGTATATTTGCATACATTTTCGTATCTGCAGAACTGTAGCGATATGGTTTTATATTTTAGTGTTTGACCATAATGCTACAGGTCCCGTAATAGAAATAAGGTGCAATTAACTGCGCAAGATTTTCTGCGCACTGTTGGGGAGAATTTCTTCACTTTCCAGCATTGGTCAATCAACTACCTTTCACTCCCTAATTCTAGATACATTTTCTAATCAACTGTGTATTTAAACCACCACCCAACCCTTTATAGTCGTCTGTACAGACCATTAAACTTGCTTGTTTTGATTTTTGTTGGATGGCAGAAAGTTTTGGAACATATCACTAATGAAATCAGTGCACTGTTCATCCACATGTGTCACAAAATAAACTAAAAAGCAGTTATTACCGATTATCTTTGATTTTTTGTTGGATGGCAGAAAGTTTTGGAACATATCACTAATGAAATTAGTGCACTGTTCATCCACATGTGTCACAAAAAAAAAACTAAAAAGGTAAAAAGCAGTTATTACCGATAATCTTTGATTTTTTGTTGGATGGCAGAAAGTTTTGGAACATATCACTAATGAAATTAGTGCATTGTTCATCCACATGTGTCACAAAATAAACTAAAAAGCAGTTATTACCGATTATCTTTGATTTTTTTGTTGGATGGCAGAAAGTTTTGGAACATATCACTTATGAAATTAGTGCACTGTTCATCCACATGTGTAACAAAAAAAAAAAAACTAAAAAGCAGTTATTACCGATTATCTTTGATTTTTTGTTGGATGGCAGGAAGTTTTGGAACATATCACTAATGAAGTTAGTGCACTGTTCATCCACATGTGTAACAAAATAATCTAAAAAGCAGTTACTACCGATTATCTTTGATTTTTTGTTGGATGGCAGAAAGTTTTGGAACATATCAATAATGAAATGAGTGCACTGTTCATCCACATGTGTAACAAAATAAACTAAAAAGCAGTTATTACCGATTATCTTTGATTTTTTGTTGGATGGCAGGAAGTTTTGGAACATATCACTTATGAAATTAGTGCACTGTTCATCCACATGTGTCACAAAATAAACTAAAAAGCAGTTATTACCGATTATCTTTGATTTTTTGTTGGATGGCAGAAAGTTTTGGAACATATCACTAATGAAATTAGTGCATTGTTCATCCACATGTGTCACAAAATAAACTAAAAAGCAGTTATTACCGATTATCTTTGAGGCTAGAATCAGGTGCCATAGAGGAGGAAGGGTGTGTTCCCGTTTTGCACACATTTGATAATTAGGTATAGAACAATGGGTGTGAAATATGTTTTGATAAAATTATAGTCTGCTTCCTGCTTAGGATTTACTTGAATTTACCTGTATTTTACCTATGTATTCTAAAAAATAATAAATGTTTATGAATATTTATTGAGAAAGGGAATATTTATTAAATAAATATTTTTGTATATTTATTGAAAAGGGAATATTTATTAAATGTATATGAATATTTATTGGGGAAAAGGGGAATTTATTGAATATTTCATTAAATATTGATAATTATTTTTAGAAAAATAACTGGATTACTTCAAAATTAAAAAATCGGTCAAATCCTCCGTGGGCTCTTTGTCTTGATCGGGTAAACGGAGTAATCCATAGACAAATCAGTTTGAAAATAATAGCCTAATTATTTTTATCAAAATATCAGTCAACATCAGTATAATGAAAGGTTGTATTTACAATCAAGGTCATTGTTACGACCATAGAATTTGCAAAATGTTGACTGTAAACGATATCGCTGATACTCTTATATTATCAATATTTGTCAGTAGCTTGCCTTGTTTTTGTGTGTGTGTGTTTCGAATCAACTTGAAAAGAAAAACACCATCTTCTGGTGATAATAGTATATTGCAACATAAATAATGGTAGTTGACGATAGAAAAGTCATCACGCTCATCTTAAAGTTTAGTTGTTAGATTGCCATCAATGTCTCGAGCTCTATTATAAAGTCCAAATAAGAAAATTTGTGTCAGACTCTCTGGTGTCCTTTTTGAATACAACGGGATATATTGAATCAACGTATGAATGAAAATAAATATTATTATATTAATAGAAATCCGTTGATATGTCTTCATCGTTGAACTCATAAGGGCTAATCAATTGTTTTATTATACCGATATAAGTTAAGACAATTTTTTGTAGGCTTAATTACTAAAATAATTAATTGTGTATTAGACCTAATCATCTTTCAATTAATCGATTTTATTTTATGTGTGAGGATTCACTTCATCAAAATCTCCCGTTATATCTTTTGTGACATGATTTCAACATTTCATTATCAAAATTAACACATGAAAGCATTTTCAATATCTGATGGGTAAAAAACATAAACGTTTCAGAGTAATCTAACAGACTCGCTTTGTGACAAGAGGACAGATATTAAGAAGGATAGCGATGTGAAAAAAAGACCCTTGTCTTATCCCTGCTGAGGAAGAGAGGGTTGAAGAGATTTGAAGATGTCCTTTTTATGTTTACCTCAGCAGGATAGTCTTGAAAAGTTAAGTATTGCTATAAATCTTGATGCAAAAAAAGATAAATATTTGGTCGACCTGTTTGTGTATTCTTATGAAGAAGAATTTATTAAAAAAATTCTAAATGAAAAGAATTTTTTTTTTTGGCTGTGGCCTGCAATTCGACATTTACATGTACCATGAGACATGAGTTCAACATGGTGAAATAAGGACCCTCGACCTGGCCCACTCGCTGACCTCACCTGACCTCGGCCGCTACGCAGCCTCGGTCAGGTCAGGTCACCTCGTGGGCCAGGTCTCGGGTCCTTAGTTCACCAAGTTGACCTCATAAGGGCTAATTAATTGTATAATACCATACATTTTACTCATTAAACACGAAGCTAAAGGATATTTTGTATTTTAAAAATTATTTACAGTCAAATAAGGAGACGGACATTGAATACTTTTATTACTAATGTATATTTTAGTATACTCTGGACTAGCTCCTAGACTGGTAGAAGTAAAACAACACAACATTTATTTCAGATGACAAAAGAATTTTGATTTTTTTTTATTTGTGTAAATTATAAATTTTGTTTTCAGTACGACTTTGCCATTTGATTCCTTCGAGACTGGATCAAGGACACTTTAAATTAACAAGAAATATATGGAAATAACGAACAGTATTCAAGTTCAAAAGTCCATTAAACAATATAAATCAGGAGCAGAGCAAACACCGACCTCTAAAACATCAGAGGTGGAATCTGGTGTCATGGAGGAGTGAGCATTTCCTGCCGACCGGTCACACCCGCCGTGTGCTCCTTGTCATGATCGGGAAATAACGGAAAATCCGTCGACAATTCAGTGTGTAAATGATGGCCTAACAATTAGTATGAAAAAACGTCAGTCAGAATTTGACTAAATGATAGATTTGCATTTGATGACAAGGTCATTGTGTCGACCATAGAACTTACGAAATGATAACTTTAAACGAGACTGCTGATATTCTTGTTTCATCACCTTGTTTGTAAATAACTAACCTCGTTTTAGGTCATACGTAGAGCTTGCTCTTGCGTATCGAATCAACTGAGAGATATAAACCCCTTTTGCAGGTGTTAAAAGTATATTGCTGCACAAGTAAGGGAAGTTGACAATTGAAAATTTAAAGTCATCACGTTTATCATAAAGCTTTGTTTTTAGATTACCATTAACGTCTTTTTGTAGTAAAATATCCAAATATGAAGCAGATGTGTCAGACCCTGTGGTATCTTTTATTTCAATCTCATCGGGATATATCGTATCGACATAAGAATGGAAATAATCATTGTTAATTGACAATAAGTCGTCGATATATCTAAGTGTCGAGTTGAAGGCCACACAAGTGTTTTCTTCTTTTCACGTATAAGATTCTGCTTCATATGAATACAAAAAATAGGTCTGCTAATAATGGGGCGCAATTGTTACCCATGGGAATTCCAATAGATTGCTGAAAGACCTGGTCTCCAAAAACCACAAAGATATTGTCAATCAGAAACTCAAGAATCTTTTTAATATCAACTTCAGAGTACTTGTGTGTACAATCAGAATGTTTTTAACAAAATAATTTTGCAAATGATCAATGACAAGATAAGAGTTCCATTTTTATTGAAAAAGCAGCTGTCAATGATGTCAAAAAGTCTGGACTTTAATTTATCGTGGGAAATGGTTGTATATTAAGTTGAAAAGTCGTAAATGTTATTGATTTGGTAAAATTTCGTGATTTCAAATTTTCCAAAAGTTCTTTGGAATTTTTAAGTATCCACATCTGATTTGCACCACTTATCAAATATATTGTAGTTGCACAGTACTCCTGAAGTTTCTCCTTCGCTACTGTTAATATTTTAATGAGGAGTAAAGACAGAGGCTTGGTAGAACCCGCTATGTATCTTTATAAGAATTTTTATGAAGTTTCGGAATCCAGTATAGATATGGTAATTCAAATTCATTTTGGTTGAAAGACATATTAAAAATATTCAAAATTGACATATGATTTTGAAGAATTTAAAACATCCCCTTAAAAGATATTTTGACATTGGTATGAATTAAGTGTCTTTAGTCTGGATAGCAATGGCTTTTTTAAGTTATTATATACATGTATCAACAAAAATACTTGATAATTTTAAAAACATAAAACGTCAATATTAACATGATCTCTTTTCTCCAGTGAAATAACAGTCTACATATCGGGAAGAAGATTTGTAGCGTGGTAACTTTTAACATGCTTTTTATCCCCAAAGATATAATGCTCCGACATATCCGGGGAGAATTTGCTTGCTGGGGGTCTTCTTCCATATTCCTCCGCAACTACCCGGATGTAATGAGCTGCGTTTCCACAGCAAAGACCGATGTACTGCACTCCAACTTCTTTGGCCTCTCGAGCAAATTCAGCAACCTGAGTTCGACTACACGCAAATGCGGGAAGATCAAACGGAAAAGCAGTCTTTCCTAAAAATACATGTAAGAAAAAAATTATTTTATTCACGAAAAGCAGTGAACTTAAATGTGTATAGATGTAAGTAGATGTTGTATTGGGAACAAAGTTATGGATGTCTTCTTTTTCAATTACCATCTGTATACTTTGGTTATCCTATTACACTTGAAGACCTTGAAGACATGTCCTTGAGTCAATGCTAGTACCTCTCACTGACAAATAAGTTTGTATATATTGTTTCAATGGACTTTTTGAGCTTGATGAATATTCTTTATCTTCATATTTCAAATACTACTCCTAGGCACGCGATCCCACCTCCGAAATTTCCATGACATCGGTGTTTAATGCTATGTTTAAAGATTTGTATTGTTTTTAGGTTTCGTTTCTTATCTTCACCTATTTCATTAATACATGTATATGTATGAACAACTTGAAACCTTAATTGATATTCTATAGTGAACTTTTTTTCAAGCTAAGTGCATAGAAAAAGTATCATAAAAATAGTTTTCCATTCATCGCATATTTCGCTTCAGTAATCTTGTAGTTTAAGCAAAACTTCTAGACTGACCTGACTCTGCATCTCTCAGTGTTTGCATGGTTGGTTGCTCCGGTGTGGTACGGTAAGGCACTGGTAACATACAAATCGGACCCTGCAAAGGAAGACAAAAGAATTTTTTTCTGGCTTATAATCATGAAACCTGACTATTTTTCTTTGTGATTCTCGAGATATCAAAATATACTAGAATTTGCCTTCATATTGAGTAATGAAAAAACCTACACAGGTTTAAACAAATCTGTTAAAATCAGCCTTCTTTTCATTGTTAATCTGCATATAATAATAAATGGTCGATAAAACGTATATATGATTATCTTACACACTGTTAATTATTGGGTACCTTGCAAGCTTTTCTGATGTCCTTTATGAGTGGCATCATTGTTTTTGGACCCCTGCAGCAGTTCAGTCCTACCACATCCGCTCCCGCCTCTTCGAGTTTCTTGCAAGCTTCAGGAAATGTGAGTCCATCTGACGTAATATCCTTACCATGGGGAACAAGTGACACTACTGACGGCACTAATCAATAAAATGAAACTACTGGTAATAAAGCCGATTATTTTATAATAAGCTTTAATAAAACTGCATAGAATTCTTTCATCAATTATCTGAATGCAGATGTGAATGTTCTTCGTATTTCATTCCAAACTGCTTCTTGACTTTTCCTTCGCCTGCATGCATGGTAGGAGTCACTTTGCCTGGCATTCTACTTCTGTAACTATTGTAGGAGCTTTGTATAATATTCACATAACTATCCTTTAGTGCTTTAAGAAGATCGATGCAAAACGTAATAAACTTATGGCAACAACGAGAGTAAAAATAACGGATTGTCGACATATCGTGCATTTATTTGTTTTGCTCTTATAACTAGTAATTTCTTGACTAGTATATTGTATGATCTTATCTATATACTTATAAAATTGAATTTAAAAACTTATATTCCATAAAGTCTTCCAGACATGTAACTTGTATATTGGTTAAACCAGTAGTTTTATCCCCTTTGTAGCAATTCATTTACTTACATCCTCTTCCATATTGTTTGATACATTGCAGTGCCAGTTCAGCTTCCGCATATTCACTGAACGTCTCTGCTACAATGTAGTCCGCGCCACATTCTACTGCCCACTCGATTTGCTCCTAAATAGAAGACCCATCTTTGCTAGCCAAGGGTGACGATCCGCTCCTCTCCTCTTTTCTTTTTGAAAAGAGGAGAGGAGCGGATCATCACCCTGGCAAGCAAAGATATAGAAGACCAGTCTCTGTTAGATTCCCTGACAGTTTGCTACTGTCATTGTTGCAATGTAAAATGTAGTAAAAATATACGCAAAGCACATTAAAGCGCAACTTCAGTAATCGATCACATTTAAACTCGTATGATTTAAAGATTGTGGGGTTTTTTTTGTGATGAGCGTAATATATTTATTGCTATAGTATGTCCAAATCAATGTACGTTTACCAACGAACCTTAAACATTATTCTTGTAGTGTCAATGGCTTCCTGGTTCCCTCGCTCGAATACAGTAGTATTACAGATATTTCCCGCCATTAAGGTTCCTGTGTTTATAGCGACCTCTTTGGCAATTTTCAGGGCTTTTATGTTCAGTTCTTTGACGTCATCCTCTCGATCAATCAATTTCAACTTTTCTCGATGCCCATAGTACTATTACCAAAACAGAATAGACTATATAAGATGTGTTGACTTAATTTACCCCATTTGATTCACGTTATGAAGTAAACACTTACAGTAAAAGCAAGAACTACTTCACTTCCTGCATGGACAAATTCTTCATAAAGAGAGCGGACCAGTTCCGGATGATTGAGCACGACCTCTGGTACAAAACATCCTGCCCTCAAGTAGCCCCGCCGCTCAAATTCAAAAATATACCCTTCTGCTACAACAATGTCCTTCTTTTTCTGTAGACGCTCTAGCAAACCTAATTTAGAGCAGTGCCAGAATTTTCATATCAAAATCAATTTTGTCTTTGAAAAGAAATCTTATATGTCTTTCGAAAATACCAGATGTGAAAAAATAATGGTATATAGCCCTTGTAGCAGCTTGTAAATAATATAGTTAAATAGGGGTAAAGTGACGTTTAGATCATCAGTAAAATACAGAAATGCAAATACTTAGATAGTTAGATGCATATAGCTATAGATTTATCAGAACATTAAAGACTTTACCTTCTACAGTCATTATCAGAGTGTTCCTGTCCACTAATATCAGGAACTGAAGTAACACTTGTGAAATACAAAGTACGGTACATGTAGTACTTATCTTTTGACCTAGCACACCAGCATAAAAGAAACTAGGTTAAGCATAAAAGAAATTCCTTTAAAATCACAAGAAACACAACAGGTGTTTTTAAATATTCATGACATATGTACACTGTAATTTCTCTTCCCATTAAATTTCTCGCATCAACAAGACAAGAGGCCCAAGGGCCATAACGGCCACCTGAGTACAATACAACAATTTAGAGGATCCATAAACTGATAAATGAAGCTTTGTTGCCAAAAAGCAAAAAATATAGTATGATTGGCATCAACAAAATAATTGGTCGAGTATCTATCTGTTCCCCATTTATCACTATTACCATGCAGACTATTTAACAAAATGTCTATTTTTTAACCCCATATTATTACTTCTCACATTGGCCTCTCTTGGCCTTTGAAGAACATTTAAAAAGATAAGTTATTTTTGTCTCATTTTTATTCATCTATTTTTTCCAAGTCTACCTGATCATTAAAACTATGAAAGTACTTTTTGTATTATACAATAAATATTCTTGCATAATTCTCGTTTTCTATTAACCTTTCAAATACATTGTTTACAGTGATTGATTATCAAAGGGAATGGCAATGGGAAATAACTTTGCTCAGCAGAATACAAGTTAATAGAGCCCTGGCCAGGACCAGAACACTTGACTAAATGGTCCAGGTGTTCAAAATTCTGGTAAAAATACCTTTGCATATTAAAACTTCTACTCTGTTTGTCTCGAATATGCCCAGAGCATAGAAAATTTTCAAAGAAATGCATTTTCACTATATTATTAAATAAATAAAGCCCCACCCTTACACCAGAACATCTGAGCCAGGGTACATGAACTCACAGTTCTGGAAGAAGCACCTTTTTTCATCATAACTATACACTTGTTTCTTTGCTTTATAATCAGTAGTAGAAAAAAAAATATTTTGAAAGAAATTATGCATTTTCAGTATATAATCAAAAGAGTCCCCCCCCCCCCTCTTCACCAGAACCCTTGACCCTGGGGCCATGAATTTCACAATTTTGGAAGAGGCATTCTTCGTTATCATCACCATGCACTTCCTTTGTTTGAATAATACCCAGGAGCAGAGAAGAAGATTTTGAAAGAATTTATGCATTTTCCCTATATAATCAATAGAGCCCCGCCCTAACATCAGAACCCTTGACCCTGGGGCCATGAAATTCACAATTTTGGAAGAGGCAACCATGCTCATCATAACTCATCGTCACTTATACTTAGTTTATTTAATATCCAGGAGCATAGAAGAAGATTTTCAAAGACTTAATGCAATTTAACTCTATATTCAATAGAGCCCCGCCCTAACACCAGAACCCCTGACCCAGGGGCCATAAAATTCACCATTTCTGAAAAGGCAGCCATGCACATCATGACTATGTTCTTAGTTACTTTATTTAATATCCAGGAGCAGAGAAGAAGATTTTCAAAGAATTAATGCATTTTCACTATATAGTCAATAGAGCCCCGCCTTAACACCAGAACCCCTGACCCTTGGGGCCATGAATTTCACAATTTTGAAAGAGGCTTTCTTGCGCTTCATAACTATATACTTAGTTACTTTATTTAATATCCAGGAGCAAAGAAAAATATTTCCAAAAAATTGATGCATTTTCACTATATAATCAATACAGCCTCGCCCTAACACCAGAACCCCTGACCCTGGGGCCATGAAATTCACAATTTTGGAAGAGGCACTCTTGCTCATCATAACTATGTATTTAGTTACTTTATTTAATATCCAGGAGCAGAGAGGAAGATTTTCATAGAATTAATGCATTTTCACTATATAATCAATAGAGCCCCGCCCTAACACAGGAACCTCTAACCCTGGGGCCAAGAATTTCACAATTTTGGAAGAGGCACTATTGCTCTTCATAACTATGTACTTAATTACTTTTTTTAATATCCAGGAGCAGAGAAGAAGATTTTCAAAGAAATAATGCACTTTCACTATATGATCTATATAGCCCCACCCTAGCACCAGAACCCCTGACCCTGGGGCCATGAATTTCACAATTTTGGTAGAGGGCTCAATGCTTATTACAATCATGCCAACAGTTTGACTGCTTGATGTCCAGGAGAAAAGAAGAAGATTTCTAAAGATTGCATTATTTTTGGTGGTTTTAGCCCCACCCCTCAGGCCCCAGGGGGGGGGGGGGGGGCAAGGAACATGAAATTCACAATTTTTGTTCCCCTTCATCCATAGATGCTACATGTCAAATTTGGTTGAAATTGGTTAAGCGCTTTCAGAGAAGCAGCTAAAAATGTTCAAATGTTAACACACGACGCACGACGGACGAAAACGGATAGCAATAGGTCACCTGAGTGACTCAGGTGACCTAAAAAATTAGTCTCAGAAATATTAAATGAAATAACTAGGGTTTGTTTGATTCAAAAACAATAATAACTTTACGCTTGAAAACTTGTTGATTTCTTTATATTATGCTCTGCATAAAGATTTTATATCATCACTAAAATGTATGCTATTGATAGGTTCCACATGCCATTTTGTGAGTATTTGAATCGAGTAGTTCTTCAAAGCGAAATAATTTTTAAAAATCCAAAACCAGAAACAAAACAATAAAAGAAATACTGCTTTTGCAAGCCGAAACATATGTTTCCTCGATCCCAGAGGTATAATATTGGATTTGAAGGCAGAGAGCAAATACTCTTTTAAAGTTTTGCAAAATTTCAATTTTTTAGAAGCAAATGACCCATTTTTAGTTTCATGGCAATGGCAGCTATTCTGGATATTTAAACACCAGAATCTTGGAGAGACACTTGCACATCAGTATTATGTACATATTGTTTGAAAAACAATTGGAGAAAAAAATCCATTTAGAATAAAATTCCTTTTTGTTTCGAAGGATACAGTTAAAAATTTGTCCAACCGATTACCAAGTTTTATTAGGGGAAAATTGGCTCTGGGGGAAATCGCACCGTATAACTAATACACAGAGTAGGATTTCCCCCCGGAAAATTGAATCTGATGTGGGATTTTCTACTCTAGAGCCATTTTTCCGTAATGGAAATCCTTTTCTAGAGCTTTTTTCCGGGGGATAATCCTACTCTAGAGCCAGTTTTTCGGGGGGGGGGGGGAGATTTCAGAGGGGAAAGCCTACTCTACAAGATCGGTATGATAATGTCTCCTCCAACGGGATGAGGGTTAGATTGTCTGGGTGTATGCCTGTCAAAAATCGTAATAATCAAGAAGCTTTATTTTGGAATGGATTCACACTTAAGTTTGTTGATGACCATGACCTAAATGCATGTGATAACCTAGTACCAATGAGACGTCATATTGCACTGGACTTTGCAATCAGACTGTATCTTTTGAACCCTCAATTGGAGTTTATTCAAAATCGAGTATGCTGTTACTCATAACCAAAAATACCTTTACGAAATCTCTTATCTCAAAGGCAAGGTCACTGGGGATGAGATATTAAAATGTTGCCTGGGCCAATTAATTTGGAACCTGTATTTAGATTGAATTCAACTGTTGATGCTGACACCTAATGGTGTGTCACAATGTGTACTTAACGAGGTTATATAGCACCCTACCAAGGTTGTATAATGATGACCAGGTTATCATTAAGGAAAGTGTTTTAAATATCTGAAGTTTGGTTAAAAAAAAGAAAAATCTCTATGTAGTTACAATATTGCTTACCTTGCTTTAAAAATACCCTTACAGTTTTGTTGCATATGAAAATTCAATGTTGCCAGACAATAAAAGAAACCTAGAAAAACTTGAGGAAAATTAAGTACCTTTTCTTTTCTAAAGTGCCTTTTATTGTGTTTTTGAACTAAGAATTCTTTAATTATATAACAAATAAACTTTTCATATCACGAATCATTCATCTTCTGAGGACATTAAATCTTTTGTTCTATAATTGTGGAATTAACACTTCATAAAGATGAAGATTTGAATTATTGCAGCCTTGTTGTTCTTAGGAAGATTTCAAAAAAAAAGTTTCCTCTGGATATATTTGTTCTCTCATGTTACTCCTTCTTTCTTTGATGGAATCCTCCCTTTATCCAACGATGCTTTGTGGCAAGTTTGGTTTAAATTGGCTGAGGGTTTTTAAAGACAAAAGATAACGGACAACAAACAACCGGACAGCCTTCAGTCATGCAAAGAAACTCACAACAAACAGGCGGACAGCCTTCAATCATGCAGAGAAACTCACAACAAACAGACGGACAGCCTTCACTCATGCAGAGAAACTCACAACAAACAGACGGACAGCCTTCACTCATGCAGAGAAACTCACAACAAACAGCGGACAGCCTTCAGTCATGCAGAGAAACTCACTCAAGCCTTTGGTTCAGATGAGCTGTAAAATGACTACACGTAGCTAGGACAAAAATTCATCTAACCAGACAAATAATTTAGAATCATATTTCAATGACAGACGATGACCTTAAGCCTGTTTAGTTTACTGTCTCTTAGAACTACTAACATGCATTGAACACTTTTGTTTGAACAACTAATTCGTGGAGTCACTAGTATGACATTGTAATTACTAAGTATTCGTTCAGCAAACAAAGAATGAGTCTAAATAATACCAGATTTATTGCGTTATAAATTGATCTGACTATTTTATCTTCACGTTGCTGTCAACGAGTGCAGACGTGATCACCACTCTGAACTAAATTGATCATGATCTATTTTATCTTCACGTTGCTGTAAAAAAGTGCAGACGTGCAGACGTGATCACCACACTAAGCAACAGACATACTGCTATCTATTACCGATGCCTTTTAGGTGACGCTCGGATAGTCGGCTATTGTTGTTTTCCAAAATTATTTGTGTCTGCTTTGCTCACCTGAACCACCTCCCTAACTCCCTCAAAGTCATTTGGCTTTAAATGAAGTTTTCAAGATCTGGTAAAAATAACATGTACATATGTATTTATTATCGTATTTTAAAATACCCCAACAGTATTTTTTATTGAAAAAAATCC